CGAGGTAATCATGTTTTCCGCAAGTCACTCAAATGCAGCAACCGAAGGGAAACAATTGGATGCTTTCCCCTTGCAGCAAGTCACTAATCTAGGCTGGAATTAGGACCCCAGCCAAAAAAATATCATGGTGTTTCACTGGTTAGTGGAAAACAAAGGGACCCCAACAAAAGAAGAAGAAAAAGACGGCAACAAACAGAGGGGAGCGAGTTCTGAGGGAAGTTTAATGAAGCCAAAGGGGAAAACAAGTGGCGCGCCTTTCCGGCAGCCATCCGCCTTGCTGCGGTGGAACAAGCAGGGCACGCAGAGCCCTACACGGTGCAGCTCCTGCCATTGGGTCAGATGGCTCGGTGGTTTAAGCGAGCTAAGAAGTTGGGGTCCCCGACTGGGTCAAAAGGGAACTTGGGGAAAAGATGCTCACTCTTCAGTCTTTGTACTCAGGTCATTTGTTTTCCTTTAGTGGTAGCTTGCAGCATATCAGTGCGGGTTTGGGGGGTAGTTTTTACCCTGTTGCTTTGTAGATGGCAAGCACTCTTCACTTGTGGAACCCAAAATTTCTGATTTTCGAGCCTCTCACAAGTGGGAACCAGGAATTGAGACGGACGGGGTGGGGACTTGGTTGGAAAAGGCCGAGGAAATCGAAAAATCGAAACTGGAACTCCAGGGGTCGACATCGTATGTCAAATCGGCCTGGAAAAGTCATTAAAACTGCCCAAGTTCCATGGGGAATTGGACCTTTTCGAGGAACTCCAAGGAGTCGAAGGCTTTGTCGAACCGAGGTTCGGCCGAACTGTGGCAAAATCCGAAGGTCTGTCCTGAAAGCGGCTCATGAATGGCTCATGAATTCCGCATACCTTTCTATTTCCCCCCAACAAAAGGCAACTAAACAAACAAACAAAAACACATAACCCACTCATCCGGAGCTGGCAAGCAACCGCTCAGTTTCGATGGATTTTGAACTTTTGAACCCACATGTTGTTATGAGGACCAATGGACTCCTGGGGAATAAGGAGAACAGGATGCGAACCCCGTGAAATCCTTCGCCGACCTGCAAATCCCACAACCTCTTCGCCTCTTAAGCTGTCGCCATGTCCGGTTAGCTTTAGGCTGGCTTGCTTGGTTACCTAGACAGGCTTTTCTGGATCCAATGGCTTGGACATCTCTACCCAAGGCGCAGGAAACGAACGAGCAAAAGAGCTGAGCCAGGAGAAAACTTGCCGTCAGCTCTTTGAAAGGCTCCGGACACAAATCAAGCCATGAGCCAAAAAACTGCAGCCTGGGATCAAAATGGTCCACCCGAAACTATGCGAAGAACTAGAAAGGCACATGCGCCCATTTCTGGTTGGGACTATGCCTTAACCTTCAAATGCGGGGGCAGTCCGATTTCGCGCATGACTTCGAAGCAAGTGGGAAACAGGGAACAACTACCACCTCTCAAATGAGGGATCATTTCGCAGAACCCATCTTGGCGGACTCGGCAAACACACCACCCCCAAAACACCCGCTTGGGGCAGACGAACATCGAGCCAACAAAACAAGCTAGGCGTGTTTGAACAACCCGTCCTTTCGATCACTTCAGATCGATGCCTATATGATGTTCATCCATCATGTGCAAACTGTTCCGAGTCCCCTGATGTTGTTTCTGCCGGAATTTGTCTTTCATGAGCCCCAAATGAATTTCTGAACCTGGGGATTCCCTCAAAGGAAACCACCAGTTGGATGATTCATAGGGGTCATTCCAATTCTCATTCCCTTGCCGCACCAGCAAGGTGAACCAATGGTTGATGCTTGCGTTGGTTTGTAAGCTGGTTCCATAGTATGATTGTTTAGTTCCTCGAAGGTACCCCCTTTTAAATCTGCCTTGTGCATACCATCTGGACATCCCAAAGCGATACCATCCATGGCGATTTCGAGCGTGGCGGGCGTCCCACCGTCCCACCTCTTTCGCGAGCCGCGGCAAAGGCAACCTCTCTGCCAGTGGGCTGGCCGAGCTGGTTGAAAATTCGCAGTCACCTGCGGGGATCGAATTTTAGGCGTCGTCCTTGGATCAAACTTTAGGTGTCCTGCTTGGTTTAGAAAATCTCTTGACATCAGTCATCCTTCTTGGTATCCAAACCCTTATTGGATGGTGAAACCAAGAGAAAGCCACCCCTTTTGGGGGTTCCCAGATTATTTTCAAACAAGAATGAGACAACCCATTTGAAGGACAAAACAAAGCGGTGGTCTTGGTTGCCCGTTTCGCTCCCAGTGGATCCATTTGCCTGCATTTAGAGAACTAAGGGAACCACCTGCAAAGAGGCACAGGGCTGGTTCCCTATCTCGGCTGGGATCCACTAATCACATTGGATTTTGGTGAGAATCGCCATGTCCCCTCAACAACTGATGGCAGTAAATGACCACTGGATCCCAGATAACCACCCGAAAGCTAAAAGACATCTTGATTTTGCCCCAGGCCTCTCCCTTGGTGCCCAAAGAGGTGCCGAATGACCAATTTTAGCCTTCAAACAACATCCTCAAAGGGTCCTTTTGGGCTGATCTCGGAACGGTGACGCGTGCAAAAGTGACCTTCAGGCAAAATAGAGGGTTTCCCTGGTAAATGAAGCACCCATCTAAAGCAGTGGAACCAATGTATGCCTAACCATAACCTAGGGCCACCTATGGACATAAGTGCTTCTCACACTCAGGACATCTGCCTTGCGTTCTTGCATGCCTTACACACCGAGCGAAACGGCCCCGGTTCATTTTTGAGCTGGGCACCTTACAAGTTTGGACATCAACAGGTGTGGCCCGGTGTGCCTTCCTCGGGTCTTCAAAAAAAAACTCCCAAGGCCGACCTTCAAACCACAGACTCAGGTCGACAATACCGCTAAGGTGTAAAAGAGGACAAGAGAACCCTGTTCAACCCCTAGGCCCTATGAAGGCCTTTGACCTGGCCACGATGTGTCGTGTACATCCAGCCCCCAACTCATGCGCTATGCAGATCTGCTTGGACCTATGTATGAAGTTGCGAGATATGTATATCTCTATATATATATATGCATATTTGCAGACTGCGCGTGACGTCCATCCGTCCATGAAATCCTACACCACCCAAGAAACCCTGGAATGATGAATCCCCTGTACATACTAATCAGCAGTGGTTTCCCATGGTTTCCAAGTGGTGCAGGATTTCGTTCATCCACAGTATGGATCCTTCTTGCTACTTACCTCTGTTTGTTTGTTGTCATCTGGCGAACTTTCAAACACCCGACATGGACAGTTGGGCATTCATGTCCGCCACTCTTGGCTCGGTTCCCTATTTGGGTGTACCAGTTGGGGGGGGGGGGGGAAACCTTAAAACCAGACCAGTTTAGATTCAGAGCCATAGATGGCCTTCTGGCAAAAAATGTGGGTTGGTAAATGGGGTATAAACCCCATCCAAAACAGTGGAACCCATCTATGCCTAACCAACTAAGTCCTCCAGTAGAGAGGTTAGAATAAGGGTACCTGATTTTTTTCTGTAGTCTATTTTAGTAGGGGATCCCTCCCCAAAAAAGTTGGTCAAAGGGCACTACAGGGGGACCTAGCCAAACTAACTTAAACATGACGCCTCTGCCCTTTGGATTCACCGCCTTTTTCTCTCAGGATCGAATTCAGTAGTCTATTTTAGGGGAACCCTCCCCCCAAAAAAAATGGTAAAAGGGCACACCGCCTGTTTCTCTCAAAAAAGGGGTCCAGGGGACCACGCTCCGCTGCTCCCGTGTTCGGCCAGGCTGCTCCCGTGTTCGGCCAGGCTGCTCATCATGGTTCGATGACGAGGGGTTGGGCCAAACGGAACTGCGGTACGCAGTTCAAGCGACTCAGCAGCCGCAAAATCCCAGGGTTTTAGGAGCCTTTCCATGAACGTAAGATATGTATAATCAGAATCATCATAATTATGGCTATGACTACTATGCTAGTTCCAGCTCTAACGAAGACAGCAAAGAAAAGCTGGACAGTTTGAAGGTTTGGTTTTGGACACTGGTCCTGCAAGGCTGAGTCCAAATCCAGTGTACAAGGGTCCTTGGATAGTTAGGTCTCTCTTTGTGTTAAGGGTATCCCTGCCTTTGAAAAAGGACACCAAAAAGAAAGCCCCCATTTTAGGGGTCGCTTAAAACGGGGGTGTGGGGACTAAACGAAATCACCCCGTGTGCGCCGACTTGTCCGCTGAATCCATTTACCTGCATGTTAGGTAACCAAAGGGACCATGGCGAGGGGTTGCCCACCAGAAGGCTAACTGGGATCCACTGCAAACTGTCCCTAACCCCACCACAACCATTTCATGAACCGACCTACCAAGGTGTCGGTCCCTGAGTCCCTTGGTACTCTTTGAGAATGGCGCTGGAGAGTTGAAATAATATCTCCCCAGGAGTATGTAAATCAACAGCCCCACACCTGTTTTGCAACCACTCATCAATCTCATGGATTACTACGATGGTGTTATCAATCTCATGGATTACTGCGGTGGTGTTGCGCCCAATACTGCCTTTTTGTCTGCGCCAACCCCGATCATCAACCAGAGGTGTATGAAAACCTGGGCTGAAGTTATATCCCTCTTCAGGAAGCGGTCCTTTACTGGCTTCCGATCGAGTGGATTACCTGCAAAAGTCTGGACTCGGAGTGTCCAAGGAAAGGTGCAAAGTCAAGGACCCCTTCATCTCCGTTTACATTTCCCCTGAAGATCCATGTTGTTTTCTGCATCCCTTGACTCATGTCCAAGCAACCTCAGCCACATTGACCCTGCAAGAGATGTGGAAAAGGTCCTGGATCCAGTACCCAGGCCCGTGGCCATGCTGAAACGGACCCCCCTCCAACAAAAAGACGAGCTCATCGACTTGGGTGTCGTTCTTTGAGCTGGTACCCCTTGGTTTGCAGCTTTTAAGGCAAACAAACAAAGGAGCCCCGCCATTCTTTGGGCGAAGAAAAGACGCTGCCCAACGAAGAAGCCGACTTACCCGGGACGAGCCATTCCAGGGGCCCCGGGCCGAAGCCCAGGTCCACCGCGTCTCCCCGCTGCAGGCCTGCAGTCAGTGCCACTGTGAACGAAATCCGATCGCACCACTTTGAAGCCGTGGGATGTTCAGAAGGTTTGTGGCAGGAATTATCATTCCAGGGATTTCTAGGAGGTGCGAATCAGATTTCGTCCATCACATATGTTAGCCAAGGGCTTGCCACCCGATTTTCAAGAACCAAAAGGAAAATGAATCGAAGGGTTGCCCATGGCTGGCAACTGGGATCCAGTGGCCTTGATTCTCTGACCTTTGGGGTGTCCTTTTGTTTCAAAATCGCTTACAACTTCCCCTTCAACGACGTGATGAAACAAAGAAACACTTTTAACCACCATCTATTTCATCGATTTTCGGCCGAAACAAGCAACCAGCACCCCTAGCTATGCGACCCGTTTGGTAGAACAAGGGGACCGTTTGTTCGTTCACGGCTCTTTTTGTGACCTTTTAGGGATTTCGGTGCCGAACTGGGAACACCCGGTCAGCTCGGTCAGCTCGCCGAAAACGAAAGGGACATATTTGGCCATGGGCGTTTCAAAAGCCAAGTCGGTTACCCCCCAGTGAACATCAATCAATCCAACCGCTAAGATAGGTTCTAAAATGGGTGGTGAATTCACCTACCAACATGGGATCGCATTGGTCATGACCCATGGCCATCCAGATGCGTTCCAAAGTGGCAAAAAGCGCCCGGCTGAGTACAAACATGGCCCACAGGCCTTGTGGGTGCTGCTCGGTTGGCTCCACATTGCAAGCTTCAGGACGAAAGGGACTTGGAGGTCACTAAATCAGCCCAGCGGAAAGCACCGGGAAAGGGGAACCACCTGCAAATCCTCAAGGGCAAATTCTCCAAGCCCGAGCTCGCTTGTGGTTTTTCCCCCAGAATCACACTGCAATGTGAACAAGGTGGTCTACAAGCCATGTGATTCCTGTTTAACAACCTTTTTCAAGACCCTCCAAAACAAAGTCACCCCCGTGATTTTGCGCGGGGGCGGGGTTGGCCACCTGCCTAACGGCTGACCATATCACTCGCCCCGCGCACCGGGCGCGCACCGTGAGGATCCGAGAGGTGCAGCCGCCAGCGGCTACCCTCCAAGGTCGAAGACAGAATCGCGCCGGAGAAGGCACCTGCCGTGAGAATTAGGTCCTCCAGCGGAGAGCTTAGAATAAGGCTACCAACCTTTTGCGGTCAATTTTAGTAGGGGAACCCTCACCCAAAAAACGGGGGGAGAAAGGGCACTGGGGGACCTGGGAATTTGCAGTGGATTGACCCCAGGCTCTGTTGGGCTGTCAAGTACACAACCCTTCGCGGGTTGCCCAAGTGGGCCGGCCCACAGGCCCCTGAGATGACCCGCCAAAAAGAACATCCGACCTATGGTTTCCTTTCTTCGGCGCTAGTGTGCATGTGTCTATTCTTGCTGGCGCGAGAGCTGCAGGGAAAATTGAATTGGAATGACGTCCCAAGAATGAACCATGAACCATCCCGGCTCTATGGGTTCCTTCAAGGGAATCCTCGAACGGTTGATTCAAAAAAAATCCGGTCTCGGTCAGTCCCAACCCTATCACACCAGCAAGATTTCTTGGGTTGGTAATTACCTTTACGGGAAATCCTAAGGAAGCCGTTGCCATTGTTTGAGGTCCGAGTGCCACTTTGACCCCCAAATGCTCATAGATCCTAGTGGTGTGCAGCGTGGGAATGCGAACTTGTAATTCGTCCCAGATCACCCCATTTGTAGCGCAACCGCGTGTAACCAGCTATTGGCCGTGTTGCGTTTCATGTTTGACGAATCCCTTGGTTGCCATATACGCGAGTGCGTGGATGCACTGTGATACTGGATTGGAAGGATTTTTGGTGGAGTGCGAACCAACCATATCCTCCCCACAACCCCAGAACTCTGGTGGCTTGGGCGAATGCCCAAATGGGGGTTGATCAAATTCCCCTCGGCCCCATGGGTAACTTTGCCCCTGTGGGAAAGTCAAATGTTTTTGGTGCACCCCTGTCATCTGAGCAACAATCAGTAAGACCCAACAAAATGACAGCACACACGAGACTTCCATTACCACTTTTGGGCATATTCACAAGGTCCATGTCGCTGGTGCTCAAAAAGCGACCCACCATAGGGCCGGGATGCGTTTTCTTGGGACACACCAGGTGTAGCTGCTTCACAGCAGAACCGGATGCCTGGGCAACGAAACCCTCCGAGTGTTCACTCCCGAAACTTGCAAGAAGAGCTGCATCCAAGAAAAAAAAAAAAAAAAAAAAACATACCGGAGCTCGAAGAAGAAAAAAAACAAAAGAAAAAAAAAAGGTATTGGTCCAAGTACCTGTGAGGGTACTCGGACTTCTCTGCACTAGAATGATTCCATGTCCGAAACAAGTAATCTCCAAGCAAAGGACCTTGGCAGGTTTATTCCTGCTTGGGCAACGACCAACGCGCTTTGGTTTTTCCTTCACCAAAGCATTGCTCGCATCCAGAGCTGGTGGCTAGAGCTCTGGGGGTGTGTTCTCGTACAAAAATAGACACTAGCAGCCATGAGAAAAAAGGGCATCTTGCTTTGGAAGTTGATAGGGAACCCCCTCCAACAAAAGAAGAGGGCACATTGTCTGTGAACATGGAGGGCAAATGGCAACGCCCTGTCACACAGCTTGCAGCTTACATATTTTGTCCTCTGACGCTCCGACGCAGTCCGAGTTCGGACTGAACGACGTGCAACGACTGGCTTTCTGCGCGGGGAAGCACGTGCCCTCACGGCCCAAGGACCTTCAAATCACGACCAGGGGCCTCTCCAGATGGTGCATATACCCCTTGGCTTGCGGGCTTTGCATGGACCAAAAGGAAAACCAGGAATTTGGTGGTCCAGACCTGAGAGATGAGCCGCCTAAATGGAAACAAAGCACAGACCAAACTCGAAAGCCTGACTTCAACACAAGACACGCAGAAAGCCAGTACCCCGGATCCTGGGGGTCCTCACATTCCAGCTGCTTGCTGGTTCCGTAGGCAGGGAATGAGTTGGAATGAGCCCAAAACCATCCAAGATATGCTTTCCTTTAAGGGAATCCCGAATGCACCAGCAAGAAGGTAGCGATGTCTTTGACCAAATAGGGTTGATGCGTATAAAGCCTATTCATCCATGGCTCATCTCATGGAGTTTTTGGGCGGTGCCCGAAAAAAAAAGGTATGTGACGGAACAAGGATCCCCGCCTCCGCATTGTTCGCCATGCCTTTGGGCTGAGTGTGGTACCCTGGTAGTTCTACTTGCAGCATGTTTCTGGCGTCCGCCAAGGAGATGTTCTACCGCCCGAATAAATCCAGCAACTTGGTTGCTGGCGTCTCGCCCCTCTGCAACCAGTGAATAATTTTTGTGGGTTCAATACGGAAAAAAACAACTTGAATTCAACCAACGCGATGAAGTCTGACTAGGTCCTCCGGTAGAGAGGTTAGAACAAGGGAACCCGTTTTTTCTGAAGTCTATTTTAGCAGGGGAACCCTCCCGGTGAGAAAGGGCACCTAGCTGGGGGACCTAGCTAAAGATTCCTTAATTCGATGTCAGGACCACGGGCTGGGTTAAAAGTTCTGTACCAAGGCGGCCAGCAGCTCATCGTTCACCCGCAAGGACCGCACCTGTTGATCCAGGATGCGCTTCCTCAGAAAACAACTGAGCTGCCCTCACATTCCCTGCTAAAAGTTTAAATTTTAATGGGTTAAATGGAAAACCCCACTACCCACTAAACTCTAAAAAACAAAAAAGCTAAGGAGATGGCTAGGAGCCACCAAGACAATACACCAGCATAGACCCCAGACTGCGAAGAAAAGGCGGATGATTGCACACCAGCACCTCTAACAGCAGCCCTGAAAGCCCACCCCTCACAGCGCGCGGCTGTCAATCTCGCCAAAACTGCATCAGCACTCTAAACTGCATGCCTCCAAGGACCCTGCCAACAATGTTGCAAAAACACCAGCACCCCAAAACAGCACTTGCACCAGCACCTCAAACTGCATGCCCCGTTTCACCCTGCCGTAAATCTCGCCAACATGCGCCGAGCCGTCACCCCAAACAGCACCCCCAAACAGCATCCCCCCCTGCACCACTGCCGTCAATCTCCTAAAATGCGCCTACAGTCAATCTTGCAAAACTGCACCCGCGCCGTCACCAACCACGAACAGCTCCCCTAAAACAACACAAGTTGCATGTGCACCAACACCCAACCGCACGCCCCCTAGCAAGCCGTCAATCTCGCGAATGACTTCCCCCTCCTTATTAGAAGTTAGAACCACTATAGCTTTCAGCTATCTGGGGAAAAAGCGACTGGAACCGAGTACCCTGAAAACGCATCACTCCTGCCAAAAGGAGAACCTGTGCGAACTCTGAAAGTCATCCGCCTCAATTTCGTGGAGCTAGAAAGATCGCAGTTGCTTTCCATTCCCGCCGCCATACCCCGAACCGAAACAACAGTAGCAGAAAGGAGGACCTCGGGCTTTTGCTTTTGGGTTTTCCCACCATCCAGAATATTGAGGTTAACAACATGGAGCAGGACCTTCAGCTGGACCCGAACTACACGGGTTGAAGTGCAACCCAAAAAAAAGCCTGCACGTTCGATTCGCTTAGGAGACATGCACACAGATCAAAAACACAGAAACACTGAAAAAGAAAAGGAAGACAGCAAGAAAGAAAGGGGAAAAAAAGAAGAAAGAACGAAATCAATAAATAACGATAGAAAATAACACGCCAAAAAAACAAACACGACAGAAACCAATGCGAAAGACACATGGAACAATCAAACAATCCAGCGAAACAAATAACAAAGCGCAATGTAACACACAAACCAATACAAAAGGCATTAATGGAAGATATACAATAAGACACAACAAATATAGAGATCTGGAGATAGCAGCAGACGCAACAACTTCAAGCAAAGCAGGTGAACGAACCAGCGAACAAGCAAACACACAAAGCAAGCAAGCAACAAGCAAATACGCAGA